TGACCGGTGGAACGCTGGCGAAACAGGAGGAAATTTTTCAGATGTTCAGCGATGTAGCGCCCGGAATCCAGTGGGTGACGGAAGACAAGCTGGAACTATTGGGCGCCCCGCTGACTGACTTTGCAACTGGGCGAGTGCTGGATGGCAAGATCGGTCAGATCCAACGACTGACCGATCTTCTTGGTGTATTACCAGCTCATCAGTCTTTGTACTTACTTAAGAATAGTCTGTCGCTGTCCAGGTTGTTGTTCACACTTAGGTGTTCGCCGTGTTGGAAGTGCCCAGAAAAGCTTCATGAATTCGACAACGCCATAAAGAAAAAAGCGGAGGAGGTTACTAACGTCCAAATGTTGGAAATTACCTGGAAGCAAGCCTCACTGCCTGACCTGTTGGGCGGACTAGGACTCCCACGAGCAGAGGAAATCTCTATGCCTGCCTACTTGTCGTTGCGTTATGCCACAAAGCACTTGTAACCGCTATCGTGCCTGGAGATGGTGAAGGTGACATTGAACTGTGCCTGGATAAGTTCAGTGAGAAATATGCTGAAACGCCCCCACCCGAAGAACACCGTCGCTATCAGTCTGCGTGGACGGCAATTGTGTACGCCAGGGAGCATCGGTCTTTACTGGAGAGTGCCGACGTTATCGATAAAGCACGCTTGTTGGCAATCTCCATGAAAGCGTCAGCTGCTTGGTTGTCTGCTTTGCCTATAGCCAGCCTAGGAAACTTGTTGGATGATGCGGCAGTGAGAATCGCAGTCGCGTTACGCTTGGGTGCCATTATCTGCAGTGAGCACAGATGTATTTGTGGAAATATGGTTGATAAATTTTGCCGCCACGGTCTGTCGTGTAAGAGAAGTAAGGGAAGAATTCCGCGGCATGAGCATTTGAATGATGTCGTTCAGAGAGCTCTCGGATCAGCGAAGATAACTTCCATTCGTGAACCATCAGGATTGGAAAGGAATGGCAAGCGTCCGGATGGATTAACACACTATCCCTGGAAAAACGGCAAAGCGTTGGTGTGGGACGTTACTGTGGCCGACACGTTTGCAATGACTTATATTGGTCAGACATCCGATCATGCTGGTGCTGCAGCAGAAGCGGCCGAACACCGGAAATGCGGCAAGTATGCTGATTTTCTTGAACAGTACAATTTCCAACCGGTCGCGTTAGAAACAATGGGCAGCTGCGGACCCCTCACCATGGATTTTATTAACGATCTGGCCAGACGCATATATGAGCAGACTGGAGAAACGCATGCTAAGCATTTTCTGTTGCAACGGTTGAGCATTGAAATTTTGCGTGGTAATGCTGCTTGTGTATTAGAAACGGTCGAGAGGCAGCATCAGCTCGATGGTTTGTTTTTGATCTGCTAGTTACCTAGTGTTTCGTTTTGAGTCGGTTTGTAACATAAAAAGCTCCAGACAGTATTGGCTTTATTTTGGAAAGGTCACAGTAGATATTAAAAATCTAACGTTCTGACGGTCGAAGGTTCTTAATTTTTCACGTTTTGACGTTCAGATATTTTGACGTTCACGTTCTCATGTTCTGAATTTTTGACGCTCTGACGTTCTTAATTTTTCATGTTCTGACGTTCTGATATTTTGACGTTCTGAATTTCTGGCATTCTTAATTTTTACGTTCTGGCGTTATGATATTTATGGGACACAAATAGAAATATGCAAACCCAGAAAAGCACTTTTGTTCACGTCACAGACAAAACGGAACCAGCCAATAAACCGTTGCCCATCTTCGTTGCGTATTTAACTCGCACTTCCTAGCTTTGTGTTCCGTTTTCCGACTTGCATATTACTGTAAGCATATTACTGCAGTCTGTAACTAAAACCTTCCCAGCGCATTTAATGTGGCTCCGTTCAAGCACGGTACTAATGTTCACGTTCAAGCACGGTACACGGTAATAATAAATTAAAATGTTAAATTAAAATATGTGAAAACTACAGCTTTTTTAGTTTATTAAAATCTAAAATTTAAGCAATTATGCGGGCCACGGCAGTGCGTTTCTCTCCGTTGCTTTTAAAACCAATCCATGCCTCGTGAAGTTTACCAAATTTAAACGACTTCCATCTACCAGAAAATTAGCTGCTCTGCCAGCCATTCAACTGAAACTTGCTCTTCATGTTTCGATCAGTTCTTGTATTTACTTGAGACGAACTGTGATCAGCGTAGGAACAGGCACAGCCTCAGATGCTGATGGGCTCGAAGACGAAGAGCAGAACATGGTTAGTTCAAAAGAAAACTATTTTAACATAACAGCTCTAGAATGCGAGAGAAACATCAGGGAAAACCTGAGGAACCTGCTGATTAGCCTCCTGATCGTAACACATTTCATTAAGTATTGTAAGTGTACGATGGAATAAACAGCTTATCTGAGTTGCCATTTCAAAAAAACTACTCCGGAGTAGTTTCTTTATTCTGCTTATCCTGGGCGGGATATGCCAGTTCTGCATATTTGCGTCACGCCATGCGAACCAACTGCCGTAGAGGGGAGGTGCCTGTGACGTGAACAAAAGTGCTTTTCTTGGTTTGCATATTTATATTTGTGTCCCATAATTTTCACGTTCTGAAGTTATGATTTTTCTGACGTTTTGATGTTCTGACGCTAGGACGTTCTGAATTTCTGACGTTTTGATGTTCTGACGTTCTGACGTTCTTAATTTTTCACGTTCTGACCTTCTGATATTCTGACGTTTTGATGTTCTGACGTTAGGACGTTCTGAATTTCTGACGTTTTGATGTTCTGACGTTCTGACGTTCTGACAGATACTGTATATGCGGCATAAGGGGCGCTGTAATTAACTTTTATTATTAACCTTAATACTTAATTTACTAATTATCATCTACATTAAAAAGCAAGTATTTATGTATTCGCTACAGTCTCCGAGGTTACAGTTATTATGTTAAGTACTTTTTATTGATGTGCAGTGAATACTTCCTCCAATGCTCTTTACGTTCTATACTTTAGACGTGGTGAAACCATCTTTTGATCACTGGTTATTAAAAAAAACAAAAATCTATTGGCACACCTATGGAAAATATGGAAAATTTCAAGACTAAGCTGGACTTCAACTGACCACGCGTTAACGTGAAGATAAAAACGGCGCATAAATACGCTTTGGTCGGTAAGCTTGTATGAATACAAAGATAAAGACAAGGTAGGCCTCGCGCTTTCGCGCTCGGCACGTGTGTATTGGATAGGTGAGATTTGAATGTATGGACTCTGAAGTTCTGATGTTCTAACGTTCTATAATACGTTTTAACGTTCTGACGCTCTAACGTTCTGACGTTATGATGTTCTTACGTTTTGAATTTCTGACGTTTTGACGCTCTGAAATACTTATGGACTTTTGCATGACGTAATATACATATTTTGCCTAAAGGGCAAGTATTTATGCATCCGCTATAGTCTCCGTGATTACAGTTATGATGTTAATCATAAGTACTTTTTGTTGCTGTGCAGTGAATACTGCTCTGAGTGCTCTTTACGTTTCCTATACTTTAGACCTGGTGAAACCATCTTTTGACCATTGGTTATTAAAAACAAACAAAAATCTATTGGCACACCTATGGAAAATATGGAATTTTTTAAGCCCGAGCTGGTTTTAAACTGACCACGCGTTGACCAGGAGATAAAAACGGCGCCTAAATACGCTTTGGTCGGTAAGATTGTATGAATATATACAAGTTTCGGTCGCGCTACCGCGCGACCATTTGTGTTCTAGGTACGGAACTATGAATTAATATTATGAATTATTTAGAATTATTTAGAATTATTTAGAATTATTTAGAATTATTTAGAATTATTTAGAATTATTTAGAATTATTTAGAATTATTTAGAATTATTTAGAATTATTTAGAATTATTTAGAATTATTTAGAATTATTTAGAATTATTTAGAATTATTTAGAATTATTTAGAATTATTTAGAATTATTTAGAATTATTTAGAATTATTTAGAATTATTTAGAATTATTTAGAATTATTTAGAATTATTTAGAATTATTTAGAATTATTTAGAATTATTTAGAATTATTTAGAATTATTTAGAATTATTTAGAATTATTTAGAATTATTTAGAATTATTTAGAATTATTTAGAATTATTTAGAATCATTTAGAATCATTTAGAATTATTACTGTTACATTCTCCAATGTCACAGTAATAATTTATAATATTTACCGGTGCGCTGTCATATCGGCAAAACCATTCCTGTATGCGTAAAAGAAATATAGGTGAATTTTAAAATACAGATATGATGCCTTACCGATTTATGAAGTCTTGTGCTGATGAGTAATGACCATCAATACTTCATAATTATTATAGACTTTTGGGGTTGCTAAGTACATCGTACTGGTAACGCAAATAAAAAACACAAATTTGCAGCTATTGCTGAACTTTCTAGTACTTTTTAAAAGATACTACAATGTCACAGTACTAAATTTTAGAATTTTTTGCTGAATTTTAGACCGTTCAAACTATTTTCGAAACCACTTATGGCCACCCTACGTGTCTGGAACTATTTTTTAAAAATATTAATCGCTTACGAAGTTGTATCTGGAATTTAGAGTTAATTGTCTTGGAATAAAGACGTAGCGATTTATAAATCTATGGATATATAGATATAAAGACAAGGTATGCCTCGCGCTCCGCGCTCGGCAACACCCTCTTGGACGGAAACTAATATTTGACCACCACGTTTTTTCTTTGATCCTATGACCACTGGCTTTTTTCTCACTTTTTCATTAACTGGTCCGTGTAATTCCGATTTTTCTCTGTATTATTGCACTGATTGCTGCCTCCGTGGGTAACAGTTTGTTTTACAGGCGTTGCGCGCAATGTTAGCGGTACTACATATCTGTAGCGCAGATACGATAAACAGACGTTGATGCCATGCTAACAATTTATTCCAATTTTTTAAACTCTTGAGTATTGTTTAAGTCGTTTCGCTGCTGACGTTTACGGCAGCAAAGACATTTTCCAGCTCTATTGCAAAACTATGCCATTTATCTCCATTGTGTTTTATCTGCAGTTTTTAGTAACCAACCGCGCTAACGTTTCGTTTCGGGAGAGAAACACACCATTACAGTAAGCTGCAAAACTCTTTTGCAAGAAAACAGGGACCACATAACCAGGTAACACTATAATATCAAGCTTTAACACACAGTTACACACTGAACAATGTTCAACGTTAGCACAGTTTTCCGTTGTGTTTATCAGGAAAATGCAGTAATTAATCGTACTGCTGCTGAACTGCAGTACACCGCTGCACAACACCAGCGTACAAGACTTCTCCAAAATCTAAGCAGACCCCTTCGTTCAGCCACGCCCACATCAACACTAGGTTCTCATTACGGTCAGCGGCGTCAATCACGGAAAAGGAAGGACAGCACAACCAAAGCGCTTGTTAATAGTACACCTGCAACAGAAGACATACCCTTAGAATTTCCATGATAAATAGAACATCATTAAATTCGTCATTCGTCAGGCTGGCGTTTAGCACGATATTATGATTATAATATCTCCATTTTAAAAATGCAGTGAGAATAAAGTAAAAAAGAGTACAAAGGAATACAGCAAAAATATTAGCAGTATAGGCAAGCTACGGCAAACCAATACCTAAGTTCCACACCGGATAGACTGAACTGGATTGCGCATTCACTGTATAATCAAGCTGCGATTAGCATTAGCATTTAGAGACAGAGGACGCACACGACAAGCCAGTTATTCGCTAGAGTAGCCCATTGGTCAGCCACAATCTGAAGCTTAGGCGAAGTGACCCGATACATGGTTCCAAATTCGTGTACAGTACATAAACGAACACTTTCGCTTTCGCGCACTCCAACAACTATTTTGCCTCGTGTTATTGCATTTTGTAGCCAAATGATTTGTGTACGCTGGCGTGCAAACCGTTTGTGCGCGCAACATCCGATTGGGAAGTTATGGGTGATATATGACTCCGAAAATTTGTAAAAAAAAACAAGAAGGTGTACCAAAAGTCTCATATTATGAACCGATCTCCTCCAAATTTTCCACAAAAAGGCACATTAGCATAAAAATAGTTTTGACACGAAACCAGGTTTTAATCGTGCTTTCCCAATATTAAAATGAATTTAAAAAAATTCAAAAATTTTTTTTGAAACTGGAAAAAAATACCGGAATTCACAACCGAATGTTGCGCGGGCAAACCGTTTTCACGTCCACGTAAAAATTATTTTCGGCAGTACAATGTCACAACACCGCAAAGGAAATGTCTGGAACTGCGCGGAAACAAAAGTTCCCGTGCATAATACACGAATCTGTCGTAATGTACCAGGTCACTTCCCGTAAACGGGCCAGCGTCACAGTTATAGCGCATCGCACTTACTGGCCGTGGAGGCCATGCCGGACAGGGTGTAATTGGTGGATTTCAGCAGGTCAGCCCAGTTGAGTTTGTTGCAGAGGGTATTGGTGGTGCAGAAGCAGATGCGCTGTATGCTGCTCGATACTTTCTGCTTGGGATCGGCATCCGTTAGGCAGTAGGTCATGCCGGCTGGCACTTTTTTGTCGCTGATCAGCTGCTTGTGCTGGGCCGCGTCGTAGGTCCATTTGTTGGGATCTGCGCAGGCCCGCGTCACCTTGTTCACTGCACCCAACCAAAACACCATTATGCGATAATCAAATTCGCCCACGTTGACTGCGTTTAACATTTCAACGAATTTAAATCCGATTTCCAAACTTTTGGAACTAAAAATAAAGTAGAATTTTAATACAAATTCTAACAAAAATTTGGATGTTTATTACTGTAGCGCTATTCTGCAAAGTGAATGTAAGTGTTTATAAATTTCTGTTTACGAGATTATCAATAAGAAATTTTACAAATCAATAATATAAGGCTCGTTTTTTATTTTTTGGAAAAAAAAACGGGCAAATCATTAATTTTAACATTCGGAAGAACATTGAAATGATAGCGTAAGTTTTAGTATTTCGGTTTTTTCGCATTCCGGACATTTTTATGTTTTAGAATAGCGTATCGGACACCATATACAACGACCTATCCAAACCAGATTACGTGATACCTGATTAATTATTGCTCTTACACAAGCTTGTACACGAAATTACATAATTAAAATTTATCAAGGTTTCCAATTTGCAACAATGCGGAAAATATCGTGTTCCAGTATATCCATATTATCAAAGCGTACGCAATGCGAAAACCGTCGAAGTGTAGGAAAATGGACAAGAAGAAAGCAAGTTAGGGAAACAATTTTCTGATCGTAAAGAAATGTCACTTTACTTTTCGTGAATGTAGATACTGCTGCGCATACAGCGCATACCTTGGACCTTGGGATCCGTCCACATGGCGGCTAAACACGCCCCCGAACTGCAGGCCTCCGTGTTGGGACTCGGGCAGGTATTGGCATCAAAAACCAAGGAGGCCGTGGAGCTCGTGTATTCGGAGGTGCAGGAGTAGCAGTTGAAAGCGCTATTCTGTGCCGTGCCTATAAAACATCATCAATCTCAATAAATCCGCATACTGACTAAACATCATGTGCTCTTCCTACTGGCTAATATCCGTAACAGCGCCACGAAACATGTGACTAACATCCTCTGGCATCGCTCCATCAGCAAGAATCTCCCCCTGGCAGAACCAGATATATTATCGTGGTTCACGATTTGGAGGAGCAATGTAATGGTGGAACGAGCAACACCGCAACGCTGGTAGTTTCTACTACATCCACTCCAGTTTGACCCGATAGTGGTTCACAATATTAGCAGACTAATTAAAAAGCCATTCTGACCATTCGACGGTGCACCGTCGGCTGGAAGCGCAACGAATCGGGCAGATATGTCAGGAAATTTTTTAAATAAAAATTCCGCTCAGGCACTGGATACTTTTTAACCTTTTATAGTATTGTCTGGAGATACTGCTCCATACTCGTAGTGGTAGTAATGGTTAGTTTTTATCAGTGCTGTCATTCACAGCGACGTATCGTTGCCAGGCAAAGTTGTGTCACAGCGGACAGCGCTGCAAACAGTTATGCCTACGTATTGTCACGAGGGAGGTCTGACACCCTCTCGAAAATACGGATAAATCGGGTTATGAGAGAACGCAGTTCTCCCACAAAAGAAGAGTGTATAGCCAAACAGGGAAGAAATACCGAAACAGGAGGAAAGGGAAGCAATAAACCAATCATTGCCACAGACAATGGAAGCACTCTACAGTCTACACCAGACGCCGCCCAGGGCGGCTGCTACCTACCCCATGCACACAACGTGACAGTTGCATTTGTCGACAGTTTCGTTTGTCTTGTTTAATGGTGTTAAGGTCAATTGTTTGTGGAATCTATGCGCGTCGGGTAGCGGGCGAGCCGCGTAACAATCGGCAGGGAATCACCGAAAAAAATCTCAACACAACACCAGACGAGCGCGCCAACAAAAAGAAACTGAACGTCGAAGTGCACAGGCCAACAGCCATTTTCTAAAGCATGAAATTAGCAAATGTGGTATCGGTGTCCAGAATTTGATTCTGAGGTTGATCGTTTCGTGTTTGGGTTGATGTATTTCCGTTCCAAGCACACAGAACTTTTTATAGATCTGTTCAAGCCCGTGATTTACTCATTTAGGTAATGGCTATGTTTCGACATCGAAGCGCAACGGTTAGACGAACGCGCAAACTCACTAAGCTGGGTAAACCGTTGCAGAATTTACCATTCACAACGTTTACCTGCTTACACGCTCTGACGTCATGTTTTCTATGTTGATTCGACTAGACACATCTTGGTCGGTGGTTGTACGTTTGGTCTGACAGCTCAAAGCATGGCTGCGACCGCATTATTCGTCTGCGCGTTAATCGCGCAATCTAATGTACGCACTCTGTACGTCAAATTCTTGAAGGACGGTGTTTCAGTTTCACCAGCGTTTGTGCATGCTTTTCCAAGAATTCCCGGCACTAATCAGTTTCACATCTGCTTTTTCGGTTGGAATTTTTCAATTAGTTTTTCAAAGGTGATTAGTCAACCATGGGGCGTGCACTAACTTGTGCAGCAATCCACCCATTGACGATTTCGATGGAAGGTAGAATATTACCATAGTTTACTGAAAGAAATATTTTTATCTGCAAAGATCAACAGGGCGTGGCCATACCGACAATAAATAACTACAGTGTCTGTACATAGTCTACATGCTGTTGCACTACGCTGATTGCAGTACAACCAGGCTGTTTCCGCAGTTTTGATTTTGTGGGGCTGCGGATGGATTCGAGCACCCATGTGGAATTGTGAAGCACGTGTGAGGAGAGAAGCGGCTCACGTAAAGCGATAAAGTCTTTCAAAGGATTTTAACGTATTGCGCCGTGGTGCGTGGTACTGCCTACGCGGTCTAACGTTGTAGCCGGGGTTCGATTCCCCCATCGGCGACTTTTTCAGCCGTTTCTCGGTTTCCCTCGGATTGCGCCCTGCTGATTCAGGCTTGCGATAGCCAATGCCACCGCTTCCAGATTATAGATTTTTCAAATATTTTTCATTGGTTATGACATAACCAATGCCAAATATTTGAAAATTTAACCGTTATGTTGTAAGAATTTATCTGAACTAGTAGACCCCGCGCAAATTGCGCGCAACATATAGGCTACGGAATAGGAACGATTTAAAATCAGAAGGATATCATGATTATTATTTATTTTTTGGCGAAAAAGATCACGGTTAACTTTTCGTATCATGCGTTGTATTGTATGCGCGAAAAATTTTTCGTGGCCACGCCACAAACTTGAGCAATCGTATATTCCCAAGGTCGGATACCGGAAACAGCACTATGACTCAGAACTATGGAGCACATGCTGCTCATTTGACGTTTCTGGTTTCTGCATATCTCACCCGTAAAAATAATTTTTCCACCCGTGCCCTTTAAATCCGAAAGTATCAGTATGGGATGTGGTGGGAAAGCGGAATGCAATCCCGTGCAAAAAAATTGCCACGATTAATGTTTCACTTGATGCTCCGCTCGCGCCGCAGCTCGGCGTCGCCTGCGGCTTTGTCTTCGGTTCTTATGTATTCCACACGTTGGAAAAAAATCAGATTTTCTGAAAATTTATGACGCAAAGGAAAAACCTAATGATCCGTGACATCTGGAGCCACCGTTGCCTACCATTCTCAAATCAGACTTTTGCTGGCTCTGCTGCTGACTTTGATATGTAAGATGTGTATCGAATGACAGACCCCGTGCAAATTGCGCGGTTTAAATCGGCTTCATATCGTTCTGTAGATAATTTTTTGCTGCTGGTTTTTAATGTTTTTTTAAACTTTTTCTCCCTGGCTGCTTCGCCTTCTGCTGGTTGTCACAAATTTTACAAAACAGAAGTTTAAGAAATTCCTTTCTTACTGCTTTCGAGCCGGCAGACTCTGCCAAAAAATGCGCACTTCCATTGCTCACCAGTCACCAGCTGCTGCCCTTGCGCGCGCTGCTACTTTAAAACTGGTCAGACTTCTGCGGAGGTCAGTTGTCTTAATGATCAGGGTTGAAACTGCGCGATACGCTTCGACTCTTCGTTGCTTTTTTCATCAAACTCTCCTTTCTTTCGGAGTCTGAGTTTCGATGAGAAATTAGAAACGCAAGGCTACTTTATAATTTATAAACATTCAAGTTTCGTTCCAGTGAAACGTTCTGGAAGCCCGTGGCTGCTTGGCAGCCACGGGCTTGGTTTTTGGCTGTTTATTTGAGACAATGGTGAGGTGGTCGGTTCTGCAATGGTGGATTCTTCGCTTCTCCCGTAGACTCGGCATGTTACGTTTTTTCACTTTTTTATGAAACTGGAACTGTTTTTCTCAGATCTGACTTTTGATGGCTCTACTACACGATAAGAGCTATCGAATGATACCAAGATATCGAAGTTTGGTCTTGTGTGTGGCTGGGACTGACTCCCCGCAGTTCAATTTTGAACACTTCTTATTCTTTTAGTATAAAGGAATATAAAGGATCCTTGGCATGTAAGAACATTCATTGCCGAATTAGCCAGTATCCACACTTTTTGAAACTTAATAATCTGACAGTGAACGGCCTGAACAGTGTTCTGTGCAGATCTTTAGTAGCTGCCGGCATCCCCGCAAAACTGGAGCCACGAAGCACATCCCACACGTTAGATTGTTGTCCAGAAGGCTGTACAATGTTTGCGTGGCAGCGCGGTATGTGTTTGTCATGGGACGTGACCTGTGCGGATACCGTTGCTTTGTCTAATCGGAAATCTACGTCAGTCACCGCGGGATCAGCTGCTGAGGCTGAGGACATAGAAGCGCGGCTGAAATCGTACCTGGAGGGCAGATACGTCTTCGCACCGTTGGCTTATGAAACATTTGGACCATGGGGAAAGTCAGCTACCCGTTTAGTGAAAGAAATCGGTAAGCGTCTCCAACAGCATATACGGGGGAACTTCGCTCTCACGAGCTTCTCCGACAACAACCATCGCTGGAAATTCAGCGAGGCAACGCTGCTTCGTGCTCGGGACAATGGAAGGAGCGGCAGCATTAAGTGCATATTCCCTTATCTAATTAGGCCTAAGTGCCGATGTGAGAACTGTGTCATTAACCGTCACTTAGTGTGCATGTTGTATATGTACTCTATATATGAGTTACTACCGTCTTAATGGAAACTGGGTGTGTTTGTGCAAGTGTTGGCATTTTATGACTTTCCATTTTATCCTGTTTGTAGAATCGTGGATTTTCTCTTATAAGTCTAATGCTTTTCTCAGTTGTGAAGTCAGTAGTGTTTTTCTCAAGTTTTGCTTTGGATGTGAGTTTAACATAATCGAACCTTTCTTGTTATTTGTTGTGTGAGTAAAGCTACAAAAACACCGTTGTCGCCGCGCTGTCTTAGTGTACACGGTACACTGTAGATAGGCTAGTTACACAGAGTAATTATCGATCCATCTTTATTCTCCCATTTCCCTGCACGGATAAACGTTATCGTGCAGTTAGCAATCACACAGTATCCACCACGTGTAAAGTCTTACATTACCAACTGATAAATAAGCGCAGTGTAACACTATCGCATGTTCCCAATTATGTTGACAACCGTTCTCTCTGTTGTACGCCGCGCAATTCCCGGTGCCCTTTTACTCAGTGTGCAGATATTTATTGTCGGCGTCGATTGGGCCGATCTGTTCTTGAACAATACGGTCGATTATTCCCGTTCCTGTGCCCAATATAAATATAATCCTGTTTTGTTTTTCATAACGGACACCTTCTCCCAAATAACCTCAACCATCGCGCTCCTCGTTCTGGGCGAGTTAGTGATCTTCCACCGCCAGCAACGGACGATCTATTGGACGTTACGCCGCCATGTCTGTAGCGACGACCATGACCGCCCCGTTAACATCGCAAGCCACCGTCTCAGGCGGACGCTGGCCGCGGCACTGATCCCTACCGCCGTTCTGCTGGCCGGGCAGTGCGGACTGGCCATCAAGCCCATTATCGACAGTATCCCCAACAAGGCGGTCGTACGCTATGCCGCTTTCAGCATACCCACTGTGCTGCTAGAAGCGTGCATGGCTGTAATGCTGGTCATCAGCCTACTAATTGTCTGTACCGTCTTTGCCATCATGGCGACCATCTTTGCTACTGTAATCAAGCCGCCAATGGAATACTGGACAGTTTGCACGGCCTGTCCCCCATCCTGCTCCGTATGACCGCCTCGGAGTTCCTCCCCGTAGCGCGCCGGTATGAAACGGACTTGGAAGAGTATGGAATAGTCTTTGGCCGAATGCAGACATATGTCGGCCTGCCGCTACTACTGCTCAGCCTATCCACCTTCTACTCTTGGCTGCCACCGTGGCCCAGCTAATGCTGGATTCAAACACATCACCAGATCCCTACTTTTGGGTCTACTTTGCCACTGAGAATCTCGTCCATCTTTGTATGATGATCACCATGATGGTGCTGGTCGATCGAGCAACTAAAAAGGTATGTAAACGACCTAGACCTACAGTAGCCTAATTAATTAGAAATTCAGCTTACGTGTGTATCGCATTTTTATTCGTATTCGCACAGCGCCGTTCTATTCGTTAAGCGCACAGCGTGACAATACTGTAACTTGACTAATGTACTGCACGGTGCATGAGTACAGCTTTTTACCCCTTTATTACCTGTGGTACAACGGTTATGCAACAGCTTAAAACAACACAATTTTACAACATGAAAATTTCGTTTAACTTTTCTGCTCCTTCCATCGTTCCCAAAACTGATGTAGCGTTTCCCCGTTGTATCACTAGTGACAGTCTCTGACGCAGAAATTCATGGGAACGTCTTTCGCTTTTTACCCTTGCTGCGGCTAAAACTTATGATGCTCTTTTTACCGCGGAAACATGTCTGATCTTCCTTTGAATCCTTTGCGTCCCTTAGAGGCATCAGCAGCATCGTTTTTTCCATACAAAACCATTGTTTAATTACTATAATTTCTATTGCTTTCAAAAAGATTCCGTGCACAGTTGTAGGAATTTTTTATGAATAAGAAAGATTAAAATTAGAATTTCACCTGCCGCGTAGCTAAGACCGGTTATTATAGAACCGCCAGGTGTTACATCATGGGGTACGCACCGAGAGCATTTTTGAACCCATTGATAATGAAACCGTCCACTATGTTTGCCGTTATCCGCATTTAATGTTTTTAGCACGAAGGAATTCTGGAGCAGTGCCAGCGACTGTTGGCCGACTGCCTTCGGCGACGCCACGATGATCACGCCATGACGAATACAGTCTGCCCTTTCACAGGGATAACGGGATCGCTGCCACTGAAACGGTAAGATTATTGAGGCGCAAAACAACCGCAGTGACTTGAGCCCGTCACGATGAGAGTATCGTGGTACACATGAATTTTATGACTTAACGCGTGGCGCAATTGCACAAAATATGCGACGTGCACAAACTGTCCGGTCATATTAGGGTCGGTTACACTGTACATTAGGGTCAGTTACATTCCTCCTTCTGATCCCCCTGAGTCGCTATACGGTTTATTTCATTACTGCAACTCTTACAGACAATCTACAGAACAGTGGATGGCATGTGGGATGATACTCATGCACTAGAGAAGTCGCGTACCGGCATAATCGAGCTTATGGAAACGGTGATGGCGGCGGCAAAATGCCATTGCCGAGGGGAGTTTTATGCCTGCCGCATGGTGACCTTTCAGCGGGCCACAGTTCTCGAGGTACAAGTAATGAGCTTACAGTACAAGGAAGGCGTACCTTCAGTTAACTGACCGACTAACCGTTCCCATCTACCGATAGCCGTTCCAAAATCGGCAGCGATGTTTAAGCGCAGTAAAAGTGAAAAGTGTAGTTTATTCTTGCAACAAACTTAAACACACGAAATACATTGAATTTAAATAAGGAACGTCTAGAAATATTTACGTACGAATAACCGCTAATCAAAAGTGAATAATGTCGCGATAGGAAAACGTACTTAACGGATGTTGGGTACGTAGAGACGGATAGAGCCAGGTGGTTAATTCCCTGTGTAAAGACATTTAGCGCACGCTGAGCGCTGAGAAAAGCTGCCACTACACTACAATTATCGCAGTCATGGATTTAATTCTGCAATGAATTATGTATAACGATAAATAATTCGATTTTCTGTAAATATGCTTATATTACTGTACTTCGATGTTTGACATCAGCGTGCATGTAACCCATGTCCCGTAAAGGTGGTGGCGCGGCGGGACATGGTAAAGAGCTCATGATGTTTCATTTTTTACTATTCAGATACGCAGGAAATTACACACCTGGAGAGCTGTAGCCTATAGCCTCCCGTAAGGCACTGCTACGGATTTCTGATGGCAGAAAACTAGTGCTACGCTCTTTGTTTATTTTATATTATATTCTATCCCTTTCCCTTTCATCCCGGCAAATCACATAACAATTTAGAGTACTGAAGCAGCCATGTTAGCCTTGTAGAAGTACAAAGATTGGTGTTCGGTGTACCAGAAGATATCCCAGTTACAATTAGAGTATTGCTCGTGAGGGGCGTCTGTCGGTTGGTTACGTCACGTGAGCGCCATCTAATGGCCATGACACACCGCCACAGTGAATATGCCGCCGGCTTTGTACATATTTCGACGGCTTCGCAGTTCGCAGTCAACTGGACTTACTGGGGCACCCTGTACCGCTGACATATTCTTAATGTGAACGCTGGTGAGTAGCGATGCTGTAATGTATGTGATTGCAGATGATCATGCTACTTGTGATGGCAGCACTGTTTTTGTGGGACCGCCGCGAAGGGTTCGCGGGATCTGAATGTCCCGGGATGAGCGGAAACCAGTCAGTTGCTTTGCTCAACAGCACGACAGCTCTGAATTTATAAACCGCTCTACGGATTGCTTTGCTGCGCATTCAACTATTCAGACGCCACGACGCAACTGGCAGTATACGGTAGCAATGCTAGCATACGGATGCTATGCTAGCATACGGATGTTATGCTAGCATACGGATGCTAGCATAAAGGCTAAAGCGAGGTGTGCGTTGTTCCATGACCTTGACTGCACCCTGCGGATGACGCACACGATGCTCTGCTTTGCACTTGTCTATATTTCCTACAAGGAGAAAAGCTGAACGAGTGCCTCGTTGCCCTGGACAGCGCAATACCCGATACCGAACTTTCGATGGAAGCAGTGCTGAAATTATTACGGTCAACATAAACGCCGACGGAGGTCGAGAAAACCTCATCCCTTGTTTAAAAGATTTTCTAAACTACATCCCGAAAAGTAGCCGCAACGTAAATGGCGGTGAGATTTTGTTTCTGCCTCCGTATAATTTCCATGTTCAGCGCACGCAAATGCTTACAAAATTTTAATGATAATGATACCAACAAATAATGTATGCACTTCATTACCAACAAATACTGTATGTACTGTTAAATCCCGCTGCCTGATCAAATGCCATAACATATGGCGTGGCGTGTGCCCGTGTGAGAAGAAATCTGGGGGGAATTGACTTATCTTTGGGATGCGAGTGGTACCTTCCAAAGAGCGTCGGCACGACGGCACCCAATCACGGCGCTTGAAAAAAATCTGCGTAGCGTGACGTAGATTGGGTTTATCGTAATACGATTTTCCCCTGAAATACAGTGAGCTGCTATATCTGAATGTATGTGTAGTAATTGTGTGATCGAACTATTCACTAATTCGGGCCGTGGATCACAAGACACGCGGAGGCGAAGCCGCAGCTATTTCTTGCATTATTGCATACATTATTACGTCTTAATAACTTTGCAATTCAAGAAGTAATTCAATATTCATATGATAAGTTTAAATATTTTTTTTCAGAAAAATCAAGCACATAGAAGAATACTGTAGACCAAGACGCTTTTCAAAAAAATTATCGCACACCCAAAAAGCCTTGAAAATTCTTCTAAAGATCTACCAGTACTTAAGCACAGGTTATAATGTACAGTAATAAAAATTTCATAGAACATTATTATTTTACTTCATATTACGTAATTTTACTGGATACATGGATACGGACCTAGCTTAGCAACTGATACAAGGTGCAAACCGTGCAATACCTATTTCTACTTCATAATGAAAATAATGAAAATGAAAGCTGAAAAACAGAAGCATGCTTGTTCCATTGTTTATTCTACAGCCAGTTGTACTGACCTTACAGTGCAGCAATAATTATTACTGTGAAAGAAAAAGGTTTGCTTTTGCCCCTGAGCTTTTAAAACGTTCTACTATCACAGTAATAAAAATCTGCAGTTAACATTTTTAATTTCTCGTTGAAAACGTTGCCGTGTCGGAAGTAACAATAAAAGGAATTATTTTTAAACAAGTTCTTCACCGATTCTTTTGATTCTTGTTTCTAAAGACAGTTTAAATAATCTGTTATTCATACAATCTTACCGTTAGTGTAAACCCGCGCAGGCGCATCATTCTATTTACTAACTGCTGTCGAAAAAAATGTAGTGATCTTGCCGTTTAAAGCGTAATTTTCTTGGGTTATTATGAATAAATCAACGCGAGGTCAGTTTAAATCCAGCTTAGTCGTGAGAAATTCGTTTTTTTCCATAGTTGTGCCTTCTAAATTTTGATTATTTTTTTAAAGCCCTGGTCAGGAGACATTTCGACAGGTTTTGAAGTACAGAAAATGGAATACTGTAACATAATAAGTACTGTGCTGTACTGTACTGTGTTTTCGACGTGGTACAGTGATTGCAAGGGTGATAGTACGGTAATACAGTACTAGTGCATTCCTACGAGTAAAAGTAAAGAAAACCAAACCAAACATATAACCATGTAAATTTGTATGTACATGTTTGGAACCTGTTCACTGGATACTGAGAAAGTAATATATTAAATACTTAACAGTTACTAGAGATTTGCCACTAATGGGTCTTTATTATAAAGGTCACCAAATCGTTTACTGTTTCTTGCCAAAACAGTCCCCGTGCAAATTGTGTTTCTTCTCTTCCCAAGCTGCAACACTAGCTGGGTAACTATTCATCAGTTTTACTTTCTACACGCTAAGCACGGGATCGACAGTGAATACGTGCCTGGCAAATTTATCGTACAATCTACAGACTGTACGTCGAAAGGAATCACAGTTGATATCGGACGATTCTTAGTGCCCAAGACCGAATAACGGGATATATACAGTATGGCCGATCTTCGATGATCTCTTCGGCCAACATGCAGCGCAAGAATAGCACGGCGAGGAGTGTCCTGAGAACCTGATGGCTGGTTGGTCAGTCACAGTCTATCTGGTGGCCATCGTCTCCTTACGAACAGGTGCGCAAGGGGGTTCTCTGTAGAAATATGGGCAGTACGAATGGCCGATTTATTTAAGGCCGTGTTATATAGATTTACTACTACGTTCACTATAATACCAGCAGCGACCTTTCATGACCCTGTTATTCTGTGATTTAGTACCAATTAAAGTGCGGTTTTGCTGCGCAGGCGTGCGGAGTCTGCAGTGCTACAGCTGTTTCAGCGAGGACAACTTGCCCAGCCTGCCCTTCGACCCCGACCATTGCAACCCATACGGAAGTGGAGAGCCCATAATCCGGAACTGCTATACGCAAACAGAGGTTCCCATGTGCATCTCCGGCATGTTCTACGACCCCAAAATCAGACGTATGCTCTTCGCTAGCGAAGCCTTTTTGACCGTAGAACTTGAGAGCTTTGCATTCTTTAACCGCGAACTGCGCTTGAAACCAAAGGCCGCATCTAGAATAACCAGAGGCGGATTATGGCATTTTTCGAGACGATTAACCGCAATATCTCGCGACCTAATTGACAGATTTTTTTTCTGAATACATATTCCGAATCAGGAGAATTTTATCTTTATTTTGGTATAAGATTTTAAAAAAACGCTTCGGAAATTTTGCCTGGGGCAAAACTTACGTGTCTGCCCTAAAGAACAGTACACGTCCAGTAAATTTCCACCCCATGACTCCGTTTATTGAGCTGTATGATCCAAATTTAAATTCTTTTGTCAAGACCTTCTTACCTAAACATTTTCGTGCAGGAAAATTTATTCAAATCACGAAATCTAGGTATAAAAGGAGGTGGGTTCTCGAGTTCGAGGCCGCTGGGTCTTCGAGGTCACTAACAGTTTTACGTGCTTTAGCGATAGGTTTTTAGGCAATAACTTTATTCGTAAACGCTAGCCTATTTTGGCAAGAAAAATTCAACTTGGATCAAGCAAAAACCGTTGGCGACCCCGTAGACCCAACGACCTCGAACTCGAGAACCCACTTCCTTTTATACCTTGATTTCGTGATTTGAATGAATTTTCCTGCACGAAAATGTTTAGGTAAGAAGGTCTTGACAAAAGAATTTAAATTTGGATCATACAGCTCAATAAACGGAGTCATGGGGTGGAAATTTACTGGACGTGTACTGTTCTTTAGGGCAGACACGTAAGTTTTGCCCCAGGCAAAATTTCCGAAGCGTTTTTTTAAAATCTTATACCAAAATAAAGATAAAATTCTCCTGATTCGGAATATGTATTCAGAAAAAAAATCTGTCAATTAGGTCGCGAGATATTGCGGTTAATCGTCTCGAAAAATGCCATAATCCGCCTCTGAGAATAACTAATTTTCCATAATTGCTAGAAGATTTTTCGCTGTAATCGCTCAAACGCCGGCAGTTATTATTATTTTAGGTTTCTGCAATTTTTATTCACCAAAAAGAGATGTGTAATATACATAAATTAACTAAATTTCCAGAAACAAGTAATTCTGAAACCAACGGCTCCCACCCATTTCGCCTGCGAGATAAACCAGCTCATGAATTTTCAAAGGATTTTGATTTAACGTTTATTACGTGAAATGTTAGATGTTTGATTCTTACAAATTGGATGAAATAAGAAAACCAATAAGACAATGAAATTTAAAAATTTAAACGATCGATTGGTTGAGTGTTCTGGATCGATAAATCTACGAAAATTAATTAATTTTTGCGCTACTGGCATCCTCCAGTTTTACATGCAGTCAGTTTGTTTGAAAACTGAAACACTTGGTTCTTGTTTTTTTTGCCGTAATATTATGTTGCACTTCGAAGTAAAATGTTGTCCTCCATAAATCGTACATACGTAGCAGCGTTCTGGTGGGCGAATTTACGTGTCATAACGTTTTTTTAGAGAACCGCATCACCCGCGAGTGCGCCGACGCCGACCGCTGGACCATCGACTTCTTCCGCTTCCGCAAGCTCTTCGCCGTCTACAAAATCCCCATCGGCCGGGCATTTTGTCTGCCGGGGCCGGATCCCAAGCGGCCCAACCAGGACCGTCTGTGCTTTTGCACCACCGATCTCTGCAACAAGATGAACTGGAATAATCTGCTGGATATTGTCAACTACACGCTGCCGATGCTCGGGACACTGCCCACCAGTGAGTAGTGGCGCCACTGCCCGTGTTAACACTGAAAGCCTGGTGACGATATTTACTGTGTTGCAGCGTCGGCCATCTCCGTCAATTCCACCACCACCACCGAGTCGGCTGCGCAGAATGTTATCGTTGACGCTATGGGCGTGGCGGCGCTAACCGTTGGTGTCATGTTCTACGCGAGGATGATGTAACAACGATCACTATTTTTTGCGGCGTGGCGGTTGACCTTTCGCCACAAGCGCACGGTGCACCCAACCGGACGGTCTTCGGTCGGTTTCGCAAAATAATCCGGCCAAGAGAATTCGGGCGAGGAATGCTGTCCGTACGCTGTTTAACAGGAGGACCGTTTGTAATTGCTCACGTTTTTCTTTGATTTAGGTTTTGACAGCATTTTGCTCGCGCTGGAACTTGTGTTTTCTGTTGATCTGCGTGGCGACAGAGATCGATGGGTGGTTGCATTTGCGACAGGATTATGCCCTTTTTGAGCTTTGAAACCTGCTGATCGTTGCTTTCTTCCAGCGACTGTGTTTGTCGTTTTTTAGCCTTCGTTGTTAGGCAACAAGTTTAACGTACTTATGACATGCGAGAGGAAACTGAAGTCCGCTTGTGCGCATCGTGTTTTGTCTCCTACACTTTCCATAAATATTATATATTTGCGTCAACAGAATTTACACAAGTACACTAATTAAATTTGTACACAGCAACAACCTCTCAACGCTATGCTGTTACGAGAAATTAAGAGAATAAATAATCTCACGAGGAAATGGTAGCATTAATCTTGAAACTGAACAAAAAAGTTGAAAATCTTTACATATCTGAATGAGAAATCTGTATCTGTCGTGAAATACGTTGTGTTGACGTGAAAGTCATGACGTGGAATACGAATCCAATAAGTCTATTTGTGGAGTGATATTTCAGTGCAATTGAAAAGAAGGCAATCCTATGGGCCCGACAGTATGTTGCGTATAAGAAGGTGCTAACGGATTAACAATGCCCGATAACGCGGCGCTCTCGGAAGCGCAGCTGCTGGAGGCCACGATCCCGCCCAGTCCCATTGTGCAGCAATGGCGCGAATTGCAGACATTCCTCTACAACCCCAAGGACGGCACGGTGATGGGGCGGACCGGGTGGGAGTGGCTGCAGGTCATTGCGTTTTATCTGGCGTTCTACGGATTCCTGGCGGCCTTCTTCGCCGCGGCGCTGCATCTCTTCATGATGACGCTGGATCCGCGGCAGCCGCGGTGGCAGCGGGATTCCGGACAGATTGGAACAACACCTGGTTGGTTCTTTTTATTTCATGGAATTTGAATTATTTGATCTAACAATGACACAGACTAAATTTCGGGAAATGGTTTACTCAGTTATTGCTAATTCTTCCCAAAAATGGGAAAGTTTTTTGAAACATTTCATTCAGGGTCTTTGGCGACCTTTCGCAATAATCGGATTTCGGTCATTTTTCGGTCTTTCGAGCATAGTTGCTGATGGGTAAGCGACACTAATTTGTCGGAAAACGTAATGACAAGAATAAAAATAAATACAAAAAAGGCGCAAATTCATAATTTTAGAAACCAAAAATCACAAAGAATTAAATTTCAAAAAATAAATACTTGCAGCTTGAATAATGTATTAGCAGATGAATATGTATTAAACAGTTTTACAGCAAGTGCGAAAATTACGAGGAGAAAAAGGATAGCTTGCTATATGAATAATTCTACAACAAAATTATTAGTTATCTCATGAGGGTCTCGTCGTTTTACTAATGCGCCGACATTTTCACAGGAATGGGCTTCCGCCCGCGGCCACCGGATCCCGAGAGCCAGCTGCTCTGGATCAACAGCACCGCGAAACAGATGTACATTGACCAACTAAAGACGTTCTTAGCCCGTAAGTCGGTGAGTGCCAACCACAGCTGCTGCATGTTACACGCTGGGATAGTTCATTCTTAGAAGCGTTATCCTACTGTTTCATGTTTCCTTTGCAGCGTATACCAACCAGGCAACCAACAACGGCCCGCTCTTAGACTGCTCTCCCATGTCGCTAACGCCCAACACGACCGTGACGCAGCCTGACGATACGCACTCGGATTACGTCTGCAAGTTTGATATGAGTTTGTTGGGAGCGTGCGCGGAGAAGTATGATTTCGGGTACAACACCAATCAGCCCTGTGTGCTGCTCAAGATCAACAAGGTACGGCCCAAACGTTTTATCCGTTCTCACCGCAATCCTAAGTAGGAATCTTCTTCTGATTTGCTGGTTATAAATCACATATCTGTAAGTCGGAACCGAGGTAAAATCGCTCGTCGTGAATATGTGGCACGTGTTATTAAACCACGTTGTACATTTTAGAACACTAGTTTGCTCATTCCCATTCTTAAAGCGTCAGAAAGTGACTCTGCGGAAAAAAAAATTATCTGAGTAGAAAGGCAAAAAATTGGGTTGGCGAGTAAAATGTTAATATGCAAAATAGGGAAATAACTAATAAATATAAAAATAAATTCGCAATTTTTTTAATCGAGAAAGGTCATCGGTTCTATGTATAATGAACCTCAATATTGGGTTCATTTAAAAATAAGGGAAACCGTGTTTCACGCCAGTGCTGCTTTTGATAAGGTTTGATGTTTCTTCACTGTCGAATCTGTTCATAAAGATTCGTTCATCGAATAATCTTTATAGCGAATGAGTTTCTCTATCGGTAGATCTACGGCTGGTTCCCCAACGTGATGACCCCAGTCCCCAGCGAAGTAACGGCCTTCCAGCAGTCTATCCAGCTGATCAGTCCACCGGACAGCCAGTCCATCCCGGTGACGTGCGCCGGCGAGACGGAGCTGGACTCGGCGCTGCTGGGTCCGCTGGCCATGTACCCGGCCAGCCTCCCCCAGTCCTTCTTCCCGTATCAAGGCCAGGCCAACTACCTCTCCCCCGTCGTCATGCTGCAGTTCCTGGATCTGCCGCGCGATGTGATCGTCAATGTGCGGTGCAAGTTCTGGGTGCCGGATGTCGTGCACGATGCGGCCAAGGGCTGGGCGACGGTGGGCTTACAGATTATGCTAAACAGCGAATAACGGCGTTGGTCACCTTGTGGCACCGCGCTGCTTTGTACGAGGGTCACTCGGAAAGTAATGATAACTATCGCACGATTTTTTATTGCATCAGCGCTTTCCTCGTATTTTCTCAAAACAATGTCCCTTAATCTCTATACAACGTAAACAGCTAAACAGCCACTCATCAAACGCTTTCGAAAAGAAATTAGGCGGTATCTTAGAGATCGGTGTACTGATATTTTCTTCCAGTTCTTCATCATTTTCAAACTTTTTGCCACGCAACAATTTTTTCAAGCCAGGAAATATTTCGAACAGATAAAGGACTAAGGTAACCTAAGAAAAATAATGTGGAACGATACTTTACTCCAGGCCGAGAAAAAATAAAGCAATGACGGAGTGCTTATCTGTGGATTTTCGCGATATTGCACCACACGGGTGATACCGTGTCAAAACCATTTTCTTCTGCTTTATCAGTAAGAAGCTGCAGCACACCCTCGACACCTTTCCTTCCATAATGCTTAGACCCTCTGCTATTGCTTCGGGGTCGGAAATGAATACTTCCGATCAGGGTTTCGACTATGAGGACTTTTCGAAAGTGAAAACGCAAAAACATTCCAAAATTTGAGCACCGTTGTCAAAACGGATTTCTCGGTGCGAGTTCGCTGGAACCAGCTGGCAACATCAGCAAAGAATGGTCCTTATTAAGGCAACAGAACAGGCAATGCAGCATGAAAAAATTCTACACTTCTCTCTGCAAATCAATTTTTCAAAATAATATCATGAAAACTGGCCAGTAATTAAGGCAACGTTTTCAGTGATCAGTGAAAAAATCAGCGCTACCCAGCCATGTTCAGAGTCTTGCAAACCGCCAACCTTAGGCGGTATGGCCACGGCCATTGCCCTATGATCTAGTTATGAATGCTACAGTTTTTAAAAAATTAGTGCATAATTTTATGATTACTAACTGATACTGATTATCATTACTTTCCGAGTAGCCCTCGTAGTTGGCTGGCTTGTTCTCCAGTTAGTGCAGTGTAATTTTGAGATTTGCTGCAAGCGTTTCTTCGGGGATGTTTCCGTTTGATAAACATAGAAAAATAGTGACCTTTTGCTGATGAGTGCATGACGGTACTAATGTACAGCAATCACACTGCCCTACGACTTTCGTTCATAAGAAGTGGTGAAAATTACAATTAATGCACAACTGCATAGAAAGCACTGCTATTTAATTCCGCGCTGGAAAGTGAGTACTAACTGAATTGGCATTCGAGGCAAACGTAACGGGTTGCAGGTATTAAAAGCAGCTGATTCATTTACCACTCCGATGCATCATTACTAGTATGATCGTTAAATTAACTGTTCATTGCCGCGAGAAAAAAAAACCAGTTACAGCCGCCGTTTCGCCGTCTTCAGATCGGGATTCGTTGTAACATCCTGCGCCAGTCATCTCCTTCCGTCACATGTTAGCACTTTAAGTGTATAATCGGCAATCTGACTAAACTTGCTATAAAACGGCAGTCGACGATTTCAGTGAAATACCAGTACGTAAAATCTGGCCCGACCACAAAGAATAGCAACACCACCGCACGCCGCATTGTTCACCTACCTGTATGTTGTGATTGCGAATTACTTGGCCACCGGTATGCTTACCGTAACGTTGCTGCATCAGCCATCCTCGGCATCGTCTCTAGTTTATTTCTGCGCTGGTAAGGCACCAGTTATTATCATGCCACTTACGCATGGATATTTTTCATAGCAGCTCATTACGTTTTCTTTAATCTTTAAAACGTTTGTCATTGTTTGCATAGTTATAATAAAAACGATTATTCTTTTATGTACCGTTGTTACGCGTATCAAAGGTAATATTATTGATTTTGCTATCTATTCTTATTTAATTTACTTATTACCGTATTTTTTTAAAATTAATGTTGCTGTTTTATACAATATTTCATACATCAAATTTTTATACCGTATTTCACAATTTTTTATATCTGTTTGATCTTATGCTTTTTTCATTTATTTAATTCTGGTTTATTTATTTGTGTTTTATCAGTCACAGTTTCTACTATTAACCTCAAATACTACTGGAAATTTCAGTAATACTCCATGCTGGCGCCTTTCATACCCCGCCCATGGTTTATTTACTGGATAATGTGTATAAGTGGGATCTTCCGGTGACGACGCCTGTCGGTAAGTTTCCGAGTACTTAATGCGTGCACAGAGTTCGTTTCGTTATTAATACCTCCCGTGTTACAAACCGTTGGCAGCTTATGAAGCAGCAGAATAATGGTTGCTTTAGGTACAACGATTTCACAGCTACGAGTGAATCGAGATTATTACCAATCCAATCCCGGAAGTGTTGTGGTGTACAGCATCAGCGCCGACAAACCGGAATACAGCGATCTGTTTTTTGTGGATCCACAGAAGGGAACTGTTATGCTGAAGAAACCGTTGGATTCGCAGGTAGTGCACTCGACCGCAAACGTACTGTGCCGAACAATTTTAGCCATGATTTCCGACATTCGACTGCAACTGTTGCCGTCAGATTCACAGCACGGCACTGACGAAAATCAGTAGATTCTGCCGAGCTTCTGACGGGCACCAGTCGTTATTTATGAGCCAATTGAATTCTTGCAGAACAGCACAGAATTCGTGGTTTCTGCAGAGGCGTCCGATGAACGACTGAAGGTATTTTTGAAGAATTGTTAGTACTTCCCTGATTCCATCCATGTATCATTCTCATGTGCAGTCTGTAGATGGTAATAAACTATCATAAGCAAAAGGAAAGATATTGGGTTGCTAAAACTCCCTCTCTATCGTTTCACTGTCGACTGTCGTTTTCTTACAGGTCCGAATACAAGTGCCGGTGCACATCGTACCAAATGATAATTCGACAGCTAGGCTGTCGACCGTAGACGATCCGTCTATCGGGTTATCGCCATTCTCTCTGTCCCAGCTCCGTCCGTGCCACGTCAGGCGTGCGAAAACGGGTGAAACGGTTGTGTGGGCATTCGGAGCTTGTCTCTGGCCGACGGACAGGACGCCCGACCGCGACACTTTCCATACGAATTCCAGTGGAACATCCACCGCGCCGACTTCATCAACCGCTTCAACCAGCACAACGATTGGGACGGTCGCAGCCGGCGGGGATGAGGGAGAAAGAGCGGACGCTCGCCGTCGCTTTTCACGCCGATTATTCAAAGCAGTGCAGTTGTATTTATAAAACCGTTTGTTTGCAGCAATTATGTAGAACCACTATTATCCACTTTTTTTACATACGTTTTTGACCCGCGGACTGTGTCACGGACGGCTTAGTCATCAGCATCATCGAGGTCAGCGACGATTACATCATATGACATCAGCCTTGCATCAGACTCGCTCAGCCTTGCATCATGCGGCCTCATTCCCACGCGATAACGCCAGTGACCACACCCTCCGGCTGGCGGCACCACTCCGCCGCGCGGGTATATAAAACCACAGCTGCAACCACCGGAAGCCAGTGTGCTTTCCCCTGCGAAGTCAACCGACCAGCAGTCTACAGCCAGCCCTGCACCGGACCATCCAGCGATTGTACTAGCTTGACCTTTTGTTTAGCTTATAGCTTTGTTGTAGTGGGCACATTGATTATCATTAAAGGTCAGTCAAACACCGGTGCGTTGCCTAATCGTTATAGGTATTGTTAAGGTCATCGTTGACCTGATCCATAGGGCTCATACACACAGCACTACAGGTAGAACTCATTGTTGCTACAAATTGGCGTGAAGGTAAGGCTTGTACGTGCTAGAAACTTTTGTGAATTGTTGTTGAGAATTGGCCAAAATTTGAGGGATTATTGTTATGTGATTTGGAAATTTGTGCACATTATTATTGAAATTTTGGGAAAAAGGATATCCTTGGAATATTAGCCCACTTGCGACACAGGTAGCGTTAGTGTACCTACTGACCATAGGCCACTCTCACTTACAAATAGTCGCCGACACAACACAGGTATTCTTGCTGCTGTGGTTACCTGGTCCGTAACTACACAGTGACTTACAAATAGTTGTGTGTTTTGCTGGATGGTAATATTAGGCATAATAGGTAAAATCTAGGAAATTCACACGTAGACTGTCGTATAACATACAGTATATTAGGGAAAGTGAAAAACCAGTAACTAATCAGCGGTAAAAATACAGGCTAGATTATTGACTTGTAGTATAAATAAATTACGGGAATTTAATATGAAATACACTGGCGTCGAGAAAGAATAAGGAACCTACTAGTGACCCGACAGATAAATCGTTAGCGCAGAAACTTTCGCTGAGGCTAAGACGGTTACCACCGGAAATCGTTCCAGCGGAGCAGGCTAACAGCAGGTATTGGAATCCACAGGCCCAGACAGGCGTTAATCGTATCAAGACACCGGAACTTTCTTCGTCATCGGAATCAAGCGTAATAAAATCAAAAAACGAAGAAGCTCATAATACTGCCTTCATCGACCTTAGCGACGACAGTTTTAACAACCAAATAAACGAGGAACCCGAAGCCGGGAACCTTTTCAACGCTCACGAAGTGGAAAACGGTAATATTCAAGGTCACCAAGTGGAAGCACAAGCCCCTGCAGGTGCAGCAGGAGAAGAAGAAGGCAATCATCAACAACAGTTAGAAGAACCGCGAAGAATGGCCGAAGGTCCTAAAGTAAAATTACCACCACCATTTTCGGCAGCCCCTCACGAGGATGCGGAGACCTGGCTAGAATCATATCTGCGTTGTGCAGAGTCCTACGCGTGGGATGACCCTACGAAAGCTCGCAGATTTCCGGAAGTTTTAGCGGGAACTGCTCGTAAATGGATTAAAAATAGACCTGAAGCGGCACCCGAAGATTGGGATTCCATTGAAACAGAATTTCTTAAGACATTTGGGAAAATGGGAACGCCTCAACAAGCTATTGACATTCTGATTTCACGACAGCAAGGAAGTGAAGAAAATTTTCGTACGTACTATTTTTCTATCTTAGACTTATGCAAACATGCGGACGCAAATATGGACCAAGCAGAGATAGGATACTTTATCCTGAAGGGAATGAAAGATAAGCAAACAGCCACTCAACTTCGTATTATGGGCAAAAAGACCCCGAAAGATATCCTGGAAGTAGCAGAAGAACTATACCCTATTAAAGACAGAGGGACAAAGGAAAAACGATCAACTGTAACTTTTGACGTTCCCTTTGGCGGTGAAAATAAGAGAAATAAAGCAACGACCGAGAAGGACGAAAAATCAACGAACTTGTGGAAAAACTAGATAGTGTACTTAACTTTAAGTTCAATCCTGGAAAGTTTAGTACGCCAAACCGCTTTAGTAGTAGATATGATAACGCTTATCAAAGAGAAACACAGCACGGAAGAGATTACAACGGATACGTCAGAAGGTCAACTTTCAACGAACCGCCGAGACAAGGCGAATGGAGAAACCAAAATCCAAATCATTATAGAGGACGAAGGTATAACGGCCAACGTCAGTTTTCATCACGAACTGGAGACGGCAGGCCCGTTTGTTTTAAGTGTGGCCGTAGGGGCCATTACCAAATCAACTGTAGAGACAACAGTTCGAGTGATTCCCGCAACCGCGCTATCCCGTTATGCCGAGTCGGCAGCAGAACGTTAACTTAATTGGCGTCGAGGACCAAAATTGTCCATTCCAAGATTACCAAGAAACTGTTGTTAACGTTTTACCCACGTTAAATGTAGGTTTCGAGGCAGCAAGATATGTCCCAAAGACTTGCATGACGACACAAGTCAAAATCCAGGGCGAATCCTTCCAGGCATGCATTGATACGGGTGCTGGGCCGTCCATTATAAACTCGAAACTTTTAAGGATGCTGAAATTAGACGCAGATGAATGGCTAGGGCTTCCAATAAGGTTCTTTGATCATGTGAAAAGCCCCTCTAAAGGCATTACCTTAGATGTTGAGTTGGCGGGAAAGGTCATCCGGGTGCACTGCGCCGTTATCGATAATCCTAACTTAGATGAACTTATACTCTTAGGTAACGACTTTTGGATGCTGCTAAAGTAATTATTGACTACAGAACGCATCGACTTTACTTTATGGAGAAAGGTCCATGTCTATCTTGTATAGGTAAAAGTAAAAATATTATTTTCAAAAATGAAATGAAAAATTCATATAAGAAATTAAGTCATGTCGAAAGTTCAGCAAAACAAAACTCCGGAGAACCTACAAATGGCTGGTTATTACAAAATGTTTTTAACTTGGAAGAGGTAGAAGATTCCAGCCAGACCGATAATAAAATAAAAACTTCTGACGAACTTGTTGATGAATTTATTAATCAAACTAGAAGCGAAAATATTATTTCCCCGTTTTCTGAAAATGATATTGACTATGAAACTCTGAATATAGGCAGCACTATTACACCTGAGGAGAAGCTGAGTTTAATTAATGTTATAAATAAGTTTAAAATTATTTTTCCGAAAAAAGGGGAACGAATTGGCTGCACGTCACTAACTGAGCATGTTATTGACACGGGTGACGCAAAACCAATTCATGTTCCTCCTTACCGAACGTCAATTAAAGAGCAACGTATCATGGAGGAAGAGATTAATAAGCTCCTGGCCTTAGACATCATTGAACCATCCTACTCCAGTTGGAGTAGCCCTTTACTGCTAATTCCTAAAGGTGAAAGTTTTAGGCCAGTAAACGATTATCGACTATTGAATAAAATTACAAAAAAAGATGTCTATACTTTGCCTAATATTAATTCTTGCCTTGACCTTTTAAGTGGTGCAAGGTTTTATGCGACCCTGGACATGACGGGCGCTTTTTGGCAGATTCCATTAGAACGTAAAAGTAGGGAAAAAACTGCCTTTATTACGGCGGTAGGATTATATCAGTACAAAAGAGCGGCACAAGGGCTCTGTAATAGCCCTGCAACATTTCAAAGATTAATGGATGTGGTCTTAGCTAATCTCAAATGGAGAAGTTGTATAAATTATGTAGACGATATATTGGTTTTAGGAAGAACCTTTCAAGAAACTTTAGACAGGCTCGAGGAAATTTTTAATCGCATTAAAACAGCAGGTTTAACTTTAAATCTAAATAAATGTGTCTTTTTTGAAAAACAAGTAAAATTCTTAGGGCATATAATAAACGAAGAAGGCCGTCGACCAAATCCGGAAAAAAACTTCAGCCCTTATGAACTGGCCTACGCCGGTTAATGTTAAACAAATTCAGTCGTTCCTAGGTGGAACGGGCTATTGGAGAAGCTATGTCAAAAATTATTCAGATATAGCATATCCCTTAACTAATTTAGTAAAAATAAATAAAGAATTCATATGGTCGGAAGAATGCGAAAAATCTTTCCAACTTTTGAAACAAAAAATCTGCGAGAATATTTTGCTGAAACATTTTGAGCCAAACCTACCTATTGAACTGCACTGCGATGCGTCAAACGTCGGTCTAGGCGCTGTACTAATACAGTTAGTTGATGGAAAAGAAAAAGCTGTCGAGTTCATTTCAAGAAAGCTTTCAGACGTAGAGACTCGTTATACGACATCCGAGCTGGAGTGCCTATGTGTTGTTTGGGCAGTGATTAAATTTAAACATTATCTTATAGGTGTCAAATTTCGAATTATAACTGACCATCAGGCCCTTCAGTATTTACTAAACATGAAAGAGCCAACCGGCCGTTTGTGCCGGTGGGCCATCAAACTGTCCGCGTTTAACTTTGAAATTAAACACAAGCCGGGAAGTTGAATTCTTTTCCAGATGCTTTAAGTAGAAATCCAGTAGGGGAAGCCTTCGACGGTGTGGATACCGACGTACCTGACTTACCAGTCTATAAACTCGAAAACTTTGACTTAAGAAAATTACAGTCAGAGGATAAGTTTTGTATAAAAATTTTAGATGGAATGAAACAAGGAAACATAAATAAAAATAATTTTATTTTAAGAAATGATGTACTATACAGGTTCCGTACGCACCCAGAAGATGGAACTTTCATGCAATTGGTTGTTCCCGAAAAAATTAAAAATGACGTATTATATGAAATGCATGACAACCCGATCAGTGGAGCCCACCAAGGGTTCCTAAGGACTTGGCAAAAAATAAAAGAAAGATACTACTGGCCCAGATATGTTGAGGATGTAAAAAATTATACGGACTCTTGCCTAGATTGTCTTACATACAAGAAACAGATTGGAAAACCTTATGGGCTTTTGCAACCTATTCCTGTTTTTCAGGTCTGCCAAAGATGGCAGATGGATCATGTCGGTCCTTTTAAAAAATCTAAAAACGGGAAAAAATATCTAATTGTTGCGATTGAGCAGGTTACAAAATACGTAGTGGCGAGAGCCGTTCGCACTGAAAACGCAGAGGAAACTTCAAAATTTTTTGTAGAGGAGATTGTGTGTCGTTTCGGTGCCCCCCGCTATTTAGGTACCGACAGAGGCTCAGCGTTTTGCAGTGAACTGTTTAAGAACGTACTTTTTCTTAACCGGGACGATCCACAATCGTTCGACTAGTTATCATCCTCAAAGTCAGGGTCTAGTGGAACATATGAATCGTACAATTGTTACGTCTTTAGCGATGTATTGTTCCTCTGCCCAACAAGATTGGGATACATCCTTGCCAATGGTAATCTTTGCATTAAATGTTA